TTGTTCCGCCTCGAGAACATCTATGACTCTCGAAAACTGAGATAACCAGCTGCGATAAAATTCATTCTGCCATGTAAATAGCATCTTGGCAGAGCATTCTCTATCACACAATGTGAATCTGCAAACTAAATTAGCACTTATAAGCAGTGAGACGCTTTCCACTCACTTGCTCAATCCATCTCGCACGAGTTTTTCGCCACGCAGCCCTTTTGTCTCCCACAACCACAATGATCCAGGCCATCTCGCAACAGGCGCCAAGGAAGGTGAGTAGACAGTGTCAAAACGAAATTTGCCAATAGCGTCCATTGGAAGCTCATCAGGCGGATCACAAAACATGCGCCATAGGAATGCTTTTCAGTCCAATCGGGTTTCTCGCTCTTCCATGGGCCAGGGCAATTCCAGTCGTGAACCGTGACCTCCGGAAACAAGTGATCGACATAGATACTAGGGTGGTACAGGCCGTAGGACCATGCCATTTCGATAACACACGTATCTAAGCCTTGTAGCTTGAACTGCCGAAAGAACTCCAGGGAAGTACCGTCATCAAGCATTTCCCTAGTCGAAGGGAGGTAGGATATAGGGCTGGAACGCGAAGAAAAGGCGCCAGTCGCAGAACCAAAACCGCTAAGTCCCTGAGGTCCTTTGCAAAGGACGCCTTGCGCATTCAGCCAGAGGTTGTGCCTCACACAATGCTTCGCCCCCTGTAGAATAGGATGCGTCAATATGAGCCGGCAATTACAACAACTCAACAAACCATCCAATGGTCAATGAAAACATCTACCCAAAAAAACTCAAATTGGTCATAAAAATGCGTCCAAGGGACTAATTCTAGTTGTTGAACCCGATTAGACCTAAGACCATAGAGCTGATATGTAAAAATGGGTCATACCGTCATGGAATATCAGAAAAGGGACTTGTGAGCAATTGATGCCAAAGAGTTGAAAGCTGTCTGGTTGCCTGTGTGAGTTCTCAGCAAGAGTTCTCAAATAGAACTTCACAGAAACCAACCTATCTAAGTGAAATTGCCTGAAATCTTTTTCCCAGAAGCTCAGAGCGTCGTCACCCTCGTAGACCATGGCAGTGTACTTGGATTGTCGATCTGGGCGTAGCTCCACAGTGCAGATAGTTTTGTGAGCTGATCTACGCAGCTGGCCTCGGATGTATTGTCCATTGACACATTCCCAATCCCATTCTTTGAGCTCCTGAGAAGCAAGCTCCTTCACAGTGACCATACAGCCACGTTTCACATAATCAAACTGCAATAGGTCAAAATCTAGTCAGAAATGATGCACTTACAGGTGGACAAAGATTCATACCTCGTCGTACTCGGTGCGCTCCGCAGACACCTGACTGATAATAGTCTGGCAGTTGTTGTATTGATTCCCAAATACATTGTTCAGACAGGCTTGGCCTTCCATATAGATCGACGAGGTGTTGATGCTCATGTTGGAATTTGAACTGGGAGAGCGAGCGAAAGCTGAGGCGGAATTCGTTGAGGTGGTTGTACAACAGCAAGAGGTGTCGTGGAGAGCATGAGGCATCGCAGGTTTTCATAGCTGTGGAACACGCGATTGTAGAATGTTCGGTGATTGCCTGTGGGCGTAAAGGGGACGGCGGAAACCAAACCGGCGTAAGTGAATGCTCTAACGCTCACTCTAAGATCTAAGCACTGCAAAATGGTGAGCGATCCTGGACGAGCAAGCCCAGAATTCTTACCTCCGTTTGGCAACCTGCTGGGCCCCAAGGCACAGCAATGTTTGGATGTCAAACAGTCAATTCGCATGGGGAGGTCGCCTCTGACTGCTCAGAGAACGGGAAGAATGGCATAGAAATGAACTGTGATTCGCCGTGTGGTAAACGCGAGAGTAAACCGAAATTGAGTACGAATCGCATGAGCAATTATTCACCCAAAATCCAAGCGTAAAATATTTTTACCTTCAAACCTGAATATATCGACGACTAAGCCTTCCGGTGCTAGATAGGTGGTGGTTGCGGAAAGAGAAGAGACGCGGCACTGGCTCCGGGCTACCGGCAGGCAATTTTCACCTTGCCTTTCGCCGCGATGTTCCGCACACCAGACAACTCTTGTAACGGCTTCCTCTTATCTATTGCTACTGCAGGAAGGTAAGGTATCACTAAGAGGATATATACTCGGCTTGGGTTATGACGAACGGGTGGGCCTGGGGTTAGCTGGCAAAGAAGGTGCGTTTTCGCCGTATCCGATATATAGCCTAAACTTTACGACTCATCTTTTCTGTAGGCAACTGCATTTTCATGGACCACTCAGTCCATGAAACCACTCTCAACCGGATACTGCTGTGTTGAGGCTAGTCAAAAACACAACGATCGTATGCTTTTTGCACGATCGGGGTGTTCAATGTCGCTCAGTATCGACAAATATGGAAATGGAATGACTATTTAATAGCCTAATCTGTCTTTACCCAGCTCACACTTCTACCACCATGACCTCTATTACCGTCCCAGCGATACAAACCTATCCTAGTCCTTCTGAAACCTCCACGCCCATCGCTAAAGGCGATCCAACCTCGATATGCCTCATTGGGGTCTTACAGCGCAAACTTGAAGGTAACGCGTTCATCGACATCGCTCAAGCCTGAGCCCAAATTAAAGTACTAACCAATACACATACACACAGGATCCAAACTCCCCCGCTATCTCCTCGCCAACGTACAAGATCCACAAACACTCTTTCATTTCACCTACTGGACTATGACAGCCAACGCCGCCGTCATCACCCGGTACGACACCGCTCTCCCATCTCTCGTTAGGACCGTGCTTGAAGTTTCGTTGAAGTTCTTGTGGTGTGCTGGTGTTGCTGATTTAATATTGTCGGTTCTTGTGGGGCCCGGGGATCGTACTAGGCGGACTTGTGCGAATCATGAAAGGCGGGAAGGCTGGTGGAATGTGTTGATTCATCCTGGGTTGTCGGCTATTCTGTTTTTGTATGGTCTTGTGGTGTTCGTTGTGGGTGGTGTGCTTTTGTTGGGTGTTTTGGGATATCGAGAGGCGGTTTCGGCCTGGGGTGTGTGAGACTGACAGTGGATTTGTTGGGCTTGGACTTGGAAGAGCGTTTTGGGAACGCCTTATCGTATAAACACTATCATTGTATGTCACGATACAGCCTACCATATTGTATCGTCGATTCTATACACAAGGTTTCGCATGCTTGATCTGGGCGCTTAAGACATAATGACGACGAGACTGTGAATACGACAGTATAGACCCCTATTCGCCATTACAGAGCTTACAGTTGTACCACCATGATCTCTATTGATATCCCAGAACCGCAAACCTCTCCTTTCGAAGCTTCCACGCTCATCACTCCCAGCAACGGCGATCCAATTCTACCATGCCGCATTGCAAAGCTAGAACGAAAACTCGAAGGTGACTCGCTTACCACTCTTCTTCCCTATCAAGCCCTAAACAACGCCCAGGAATACCACACGTCCATTATTTAATCCACGCAGTCCAACGTCCATTCATATTCCTAGTTCTCAACCAGACGATCCTCTCAACCTGTTACATCATACTCACTCGCACCGAGATTTCCGCTTCCGTTTGGAGCGTGTTCCATGTTCAAGCGTTGGCGGTTACAGCGTGTGCTGGATGCTATAATACGCTTGTCTTGTTTTCTGTTGGGAGTGTTAAGCGGACTTGCGACGTTGAAGGCCCGGGGCAGGGGCATGTTACTCTTCGATTCGGAGGCGTGTGCGTTCATCCTGGGATGCCGGTTATTCTGTGTCTATGTTCTGTTGCGTTGTTCTTGGTGGGAGGTGTGCTCGCGTTGGGTGGTTTTGGGTGTAGGGTGGTTTTGGGGATGTGAGCTTTGGATTTGTTCAATGGACTTAAGAGCGTTTTGGGAACTCTTATTGTTGTATGGTATAAAGTTTAAACGGCCCACCTTGTTGTAAAGCGTCGATTGTATACATCGTCTTCCTTGAAGTTGTAGAGATTGAGTTGGCATTGCGAGTGCGTTGATTGTCAATTGCGCTGAGCGCTAAGCATCTTGACGTTGGACGACCACCACCACAATGGCACCATCTCGCAAAACTCCCATCATCCATGCTTTATTCGTTCTCTTCGAAGCTCTGGTCCATTTACGCTCTATTGGCTCACTTTAAGCTTCTCGTATGGCCGTCGGGCGACTTCAATGGATGTAACCACGACCACCATTCAAAGCTCTAACATGGGACAAAACCACGGGATATATGAAAGGCTTGGGTCTCAAAAGCGTTAGATTTGTGTTGGAGGAGAGATTTAAACTCGAGATAAGGCGAACGTGGTGCGTTTTCGTCTTTTCTTTCGCGAGTCGACACCCTGTTCTGACCGGTACCATTTGTAACATGATTAGATTTGGCATTTTCACGGAGCGTCATCTTGCACAACTTCAGAGTTGTCAGCCGGAGAACGAAACAAGACATAGCCCCGTCACGTCCTCCGTTCTCTTCCAGCGAGATGCTCGCTCGACAGAAACTTGAACCGGATCTCGAAGTCGGTACTACAACCCAGGAAAAGCAAAAAAAAAAAAAAAAACTCTTCGAATTCCCGAGGTGCCGAGGCTTCACCAACACCATCTTTCCGCTCTGCTCACCTCGACGCTCGTATCAGGCAGACTCCTCCGACTCGATAAAAAGGAACGAGGAATCATCTTTCCACTGGCAGTCTTATTATACGCGGTTCTTCCTCGTATACAGCCTGACATGAAATCCCAGGGTGGTTTATCAAGATCTCAAGTTACTGCACTGCCGAGGACCTCAATAAACGCAAAAACATTGGTTAGCGGAGGAGGCTCAGGTCGTTGATTCTTGAGCATCAAGTAACGGTGGTGCGTCATCTTGTTCGCTAGTTGATACTGCTGTTCTGACCAACATGGTTAGAAGCTATGCTCGCAAAACGGGAACTCATCTCCGATGTCTGTTTCTCGAGTGCAGACCTCGCGTGCGTGGAAGCGAGGATCAAAGACGAAGGCTTGATTTCAAGGGCGTTTAGCGCAGTGGTAGCGCGTATGCTTTGCATCTCACTGAAGCTCCGAAACTGTATAAGGTCCAGGGTTCAATCCCCTGAACGTCCAAATTTTTCTTTCGTTTGTCTAGTCTGGGGTATCGTTCGTAGTGCTAGTTTTCGCTCTTCAGACGGCAGTTTTCATTTTTTATTTTTGTTCGTACATAGGCAGTGCCACGGAGGTCGGGCGCTAATTAAAATTTGTAATCGATTATCGAACCATTTACTCTTTTTCCCTCGACGACCATGATGAATCGATATCGTTGGCCTCGCTCTGCCTAAGACTCGGAATGTTTGGTGTTCAAGGTTAGGAATTTTTGGGGTCAGATAGGAGAAGGAGACGTGATCACCGGTACGTTCGATATCGATGTTCCATCTCAAAGGTTCGGTACCCTAACTGTACTATAGACCTCACGACACTCGATACCCTGTTTCTCAGCACCGAAAGAATACGCTCCACGAAAGGATGCAGGTCTCGTTTTGTGTTGGTTAGGAGCTGAATGTCAGGTTAGGAATTGAGTGGGGGTCTCGCAATTGGATTAGGTGAGCCTTTTCGTTGTTACTGATTTTCCGTTGTTACTGATTTTCCATAGAGAAGCGCGCTAACCGTATCCCGAAGAAACCAGCACGAAGACACCACCCTAAATTCCATCGCTCTCCACACGTCTCGTAGCCATCACCCCAAAACCCCGACCTCTCCATGGCACCACACCCGAGCTATACCCCAAGACGCCCACTCGAAGATGGGGTATTTAACCCCCAACCAACAACCTGCACTCCCCTCACACACAAAGCAAAGCAAAATGTTCTCCCTCTTCCTCGTCCCCACCTTCTTCATTGGTGCTATCGGCTCGCCTCTCCCCAAACGAGGCGACACGTCTATCTGTAGCACCGGTGGGAAAACGGTGTGTTGTAACGGTGGGGTGTTGGGGTGTGTTTTAAGTTTGAACGATCAGTGGTACGTTCCTTTCCCGAGTTTTTTTGAGTACCCGAGTTGACGAGGTGGGTATAGCGATTCGGGGGATGTATATTGCTGCTACGACGATAACTACCAGGGTACGTCTTTCGCCCTTCCCTCGCTTCTTGATCCGGGGCTAATACGGTGATGTACAGGTGGTATCGTGAACGTGGATAAAGGAAATTGTCATCAGGCGTTTTTGCCGTTGGGTAGTGCTTTGGGGTTGCCGGTGGAGACGAAGAGGGGATTGATCCCTGGTGAAGGAGGCTTGGGCGGAGTGTTGGGCGGGTTGACTGGTGTTCTGGGTGGCGGCGGTGCTGGGTTGGGTGGTTTGACCGGCGGCGAAGGGTCTGGGGGTTTGGGTGGTCTTGAAGGTCTCGGCGGCTCAGAAGGTGGTTCGAGTACCTTCAAAGGCTCTAGGTTGGGTGCGGAAGCACCAGAGTTCAGTCGTAGAGACCCGGCTGGTGGATTGGGAGGTCTGACTGGAGCTTTGGGAGGAAAGGGTTTGGGAGGTTTAGAAGGTCTAACGGGCGGACAAAGCTCGAGCGGCGGTTTGACGGGAGAACTTGGTGGTTTGACCGGTGTTCTGGGAGGCTCTGGGTCAGGAGAAGCGGGAGCTTTGGAAGGTTTGAGTGGAGGATCTGGCGTTCAGGGATTGGGAGGTTTGCCTGGGCTTTAAGGTGAAGGTGAATGCAATGGACAAATGTACGATAGTGTTTCGAATCTTTTTGTATTCTTTCTCTTTGTATTCTGTCGCTTGTGAACATGTAAACTATTGATTGAATGACGAGTTGACGAATGATAAGCGCCTCATCTCTCTTTCTCTTTTACCATCACCACGTTCAGCTCGTCATGCGGGTATCTCTCAAACCTCTGGCTATCTGAGCGTCGTTCGAAGCGTGTGCATGAAGCATACAAGGCGGGGTTGTTGGGAGTTTTGGATCAGGAGCTAGCAATGTAAAAGTCGTCACTGGTGCTGTTCCAAATCGCTGGTACGTTCTTCAACGTTCTTCATTTATCATGACATGTAGTACCCTGATTGACTCAAAAGTTAAAATTAGTTCTGTCTTTCAGGATATGCGCGCAGAATGAAAGTCAGGAGCCAGAGTCTACGATGTAGAGCTGCAAGACTACACCCTGACTTGCGATGTCTGCCTTCTTCCGCCCGTCTCAGCTTCAAATTCTACCGACGTCGACATCGATTCACCCAAACGATGGGTATCGCTGCATTTTCATGACGTCTTCTCCATTCGAAAACATGATATATAAACCTCCCAACGAACGCTACTATCCTCCATCCCCCAGTCTCCAAACGCCAATCCAAAGACACGATGTACAAACTCACTCTCATCTCAACCCTCACCCTCGCCGCTCTCGTTTCCGCTTCGCCTCTCCTTGAAAAAAGGAGTACGAGCGTATGCAGCTCCGGGGGTAAAGCAGTGTGCTGTAACGGTGGATTGTTGAATTGCGTTTTGAGTGATGATTGGTGTGTCCTCCCTTTATTCCCTTTTCATCCTTCCTGTGCTGATAAAGGCGTTATAGTGAAACTGGGGATGTGTATTGTTGTTATAACGATAATCAACAAAGTACGCTTCTTTTTCCTCCTTTGCTCTGTGCGGCGGCTGATGTGTGTGTAGGTGGATTTATCAACGTAAACACAGGGAATTGTCAACGTTCGACTTTGCCTCTTTCGGGGCTTACTGGAGGGACTGTTGGGGCGGCGGCGGCGCAGGGGTTGACTGGGGGATTGGGAGCTGGGGGGTTGACTAACACTGCTGCGGGTCTGACTGGTGGACTTACCAACACTGCTGGTAGTCTGACTGGCGGAGGGTTGGGTAACACCGCTGCAGGTCTTACCAACACTGCTGGAAGCCTTACTGGTGGTTCGGGATTGACTAACACGGCTAACAGTCTTACTGGCGGAACAGGAGGATTGGCTAACACGGCTAACAGCCTTACTGGTGGCTCGGGAGCGGCGGGAGGTGTTACCAACACCGCTAACAGTCTCACCGGCGGAACTGGTGGGTTGACCAACACGGCTAACAGCCTTACTGGCGGATCTGGAGGTGTGGCGAATACCGCTAACACCCTCACCGGCGGCGCGGGTGCGAACACCAATACCAATACTGGTTTGACTTCGAGCACAAACACTGGAGGAGGGTTGACTGGTGCTTTGACTGGAGGGAAGGGGTTGGGGCTTTAAATGATCGTGTAATGGACAAATGACGAATGTACAGTATTTTCTGTTTTCTTCTTCAAAGGACTGTTGTATGTATATATGTAAAGTAACCATTTGTAAAACGCGGATATGGAATTCGAAGATCGTTTCTTGATAAGCGCCTCGTGTTTTGGCTTTTTGCTTCTTTTCTTCTTTTACCACCACCATCAACACAGCATCTTTCTTCCCTCGCTCGCTCGTCGTGGAATGGCGTGTTCTGGCTTTCGGGGTCAAAACGGTCTAGACTGGTCTTTTTTGTGGATTCATGGAGCTTGGGTGGATATTAGGCAGGGGTTTGGGTAGGCGGACGTTGAAAGAGATGTGTGCGCGTAACACGTTCCTTCTCTCGTAGGAGACTAAACTCTGACTAACCTTACGTTTAGAGCTTCAATTTCAAGTTGGATCTGGATAGACGAAGACACAGCATCCCGAGATTAAGAGCTCCAACTTGCACGGATGGAACGTCTACTATTGGGTAGGATGATGGGGGAGAGGGGTGGACTCCGAGGATGTACAGTAACGGTGCGTTCACTCCCTCGGGCCTCAGTCGCAGGACTGACGATGACATATAGGACTGAATCTTGCAGAAGGCATCAATGGTTCCGGGTTCGACGAGACGGATTTGTCTCGCGTTACATCTTTTGGGCAGGAGTTGGGGGTAAGAGGATGTACAGTAACGGTCAATTCGTGCGTTGGCCCCTTCTTGGATACGCAACGCGACTGACGTGTGGATACGTTTACAGGTTCGGACTTTCGCCGGTCAGACAGACGAAACAGACAAACACTTGCACCCCATCCTCCATTTTCCGCTGTAGAGGCCTTAAGCTCGCAGGAGCGAGCTTGAAACACTCTCGTATCTTGTAGAAACTTCCAGCCTCTCCCTTCTTTCAAGTACGACTTTAGCCTCTCTTTTGGGAAAGGCAGAGGTTCGAAATCCATGCTAGGATGGTTGATTATAGGGCTGAGCGGCGTTCTACTCTTCGGCGCAGATCTTATCATCATTCGCTGGCAGTTGGGGTAGATGTTGAACGTTGAGAGGTGTGTACAGGTGGTGCATAACGTTCCTTTTCTCGGAGGAGTTGTGGACAGACGAGACATGTAGCTGGAAATATTTCAAGTATCTCAAAATCGTCTCATCTTGTTGGGCGCGATGTCTGGCTTGGATGGTGATTATGTTAATAGGTGTGGAAATGAAGCTGTACGTTCAACGTTTTACTAGAACTACTCTTCATACCGTGATTAACATGTCTTTCGCGCAGATCTTACCATCATTCAGTGGCTCTTGGGGTGGATGTTGAGGTGGTGCGTAACGTTTCTTTTCTCGGGGGAGACGAAGATCTGACATGTTTGCGGTTACGTTTAAAGGTTAAACCCAAAGTCTTGCGGACAGACGAGGACACGACCAGCTCAGTATCTCGCAGAAGCTTTCAAGCTTCATCTTTAGCGCTATTGTCTGGGTGTGATGTCTGACCTGGAGGGCGGAGCGGGGGCGTAGGTATGAAAATGAAGAGATCATGCCAAGGTACGTTCAACGTTCGATGTTTTACATGATTAACGTACCTTCTTTCGCGCAGATCTTACCATCATCGAGCCCACCTGGGCTCACCTTGACTAGTTGGGATAGGAGAGGGGTACAGTCGTGCGTAACACATTCCTTCTCTCGGAGGAGATTAGAGTCTGACTACGTTTAGTTGCGGGCAAACGAGAACCATGGCCACCTCAACATTCTCGGATCTTGCCATCTCGCAAAGCTCTCTCCGTTCTGGATATCGCTTTCAAGTCCGAGTACGAAAATATCCGAGTCGGACGTTGATTATAGCCAAGTCAAGGGCTGAACGGGTTCGTAGATGTTGTAATGAACCCGTACGTTCAACGTTTTACTAGGTCTCTTCAT